TGTAAGCAACCAGGAAGCAGCTGACATGGGACCTGTTGCAACCGCAACTCTACAGCAATCAGTCGATATTCCAGAAGTATCAGCTCCTTCTCCGCCAGTTCCACCGCCGCCTGTTCGGACACCAGGTATTTATCGTGAACCTGACAACTCGCTCGATCCGCCTAAGAAAAAGGGCCGCCGAAGAAAATCACTGGTCCTCACATTCAAGTTCAACGCACTCAAGGACCCCTCATTCTTTAATAATAAGCGGGACATACATCCTGAAGATCGTGGAGAATCTTCAGGCCAACCCGGGGTTTCTCAGTCCACGGACTTGGTCCAGAATTCACCCCAGACCACGCCTGGAGATAACCCTACAATTTCAACAAAAGCAGGAACAGCTCAGACCAGTCGGCCTCCAGCAAAGCGTGGTCGCAAAGGAGTATTCCGTTGCGACAAGTGTGGCAACAGCTGGAAGAATTCAAATGGGTTGGATTATCACCTAACCAAATCCCAGACCGACTGCAATCCTTCCTATATTCCACCTCCGCCTCCGCCCCCCCCTCCGCCGCCCAAACCAAGATCGATACTTAAGAAAAAGACGACAGTGGCCTCCAATAACGAGGATCAGGCCGGCACTGCAAACCCGCTGCAAACACCGGAATCGGTTCGTAAACCGAAGCAACACGCTACCAATACCGAAGACCGCCTTCCTACCTTACCATCCAAGCGCATTCGTCCAAGTAAGGTTGCTGAGCACCGTCAGGACGACAGTGGAATAACTGGGGTTGGTTCTATCCGAGGCTCTGTCGTCTTGCAGGACGTCGAAGCCTACGATATTATTGATCACCGACGACGGCGTGAAAACAGCCAAGCTGCTTCGATCTACGCCGAAAACTCGGTTTCTCAATTGGGTCGGACGAGCCAGGTGTACCCGCAGACACTACCCAAGCAGCCGTCTCACGTCCGAGAACAGGGAATTCTACGTGCTCGGGGAATAGAGAAGGATGTAAGTATGCCTGTTGCTTCAGAGAGCTCTCAAGCGAAAAACAAAAGCAGTATTACACCACATATTCGCGACGGAGAACCCGTACCTGAAGCAAGGCCTGAAATGCGTCCAAGTGCAGATGAAAATGGCGGAAGCCATAAAGGAGCGACAAACCAACCGGGGACCGACACTACACACCCAGACGAGCAGTCAGAATCCAAGAAGCCTCGTAAGTCATATACGTACACCGTTGGTACAATACGCAGAGAACGCGTGACTCGTATAATCGGGCATCTGCTTGACAACAATGATGGCGTGTTCCCTGGACAGAAATCTCTCTACTATGCTGTGGTATCTTTCTGGGTTAAAAACCACAGCGACATAGAACCCCCTGACTGGAAGGTATGCCAGACTGTGGTGAAGAACATGGAAAAGGCTGGAGCGCTGTTCCAACTGCACTTTTGTTTCCTCGATGACAATAACAAACTTCAGGAATGTTGTGTGCTTGCGAAGCCCCGGATAGGCGAGACCAATACGGCAGATTTAGCAACAAGTCCTAAAGTTGTCATCATCAAGGAGAAGATGAGAGAGATGTTCCCGATACCATATGTCCCAGAGGCATTCTCATTATCTGAGGAGGAGAACAAGCTCTTCAACGAACTTGCATCAAGCTACAGAGAGCAGCAGTCGAGTGGGAGCCGTAGACAACCTCAAAAATCGAGTGTGATTGAGGACATCGAAGTCTTACAGTACCCGGCCCATGTTCTAGAAGAAGCCGGTGCCCATACCGCCAACTCAAAGCGACGCGCAGAGGAGGACGAGTCAGTGGGCGCAGCACCTGCCAAAAGAGCCCGCATTGACACCATCACGTCTCTAAGCTCCCAAAAACCTCGGAAGCGAAGCGAGCATTGGGACAATGGGAAACTTGCCAAGTATATCTGGAAGAAGAAACAAAAGCCAGACGAGAAATGGGATCAGAAACAGGCTTGCCTTCAAGACTTTGCCACTGGAACATGGTCAACCTTACCCCAAGAGACGACTTCTTCGCGACCAGAGATCAGTGCTATCCTATCCTCGCTTCGGACCAGCCGTCAAAATGCATCAGCTTCGATACGGCCAGGCACTAGTAGCCAATCAAAGGGTCGTAGCGAGGCTTCGAGAAAGAACGTGGACTTCTCCGAAGATGCCCTATGGACCTACGGTTATGAAAATGGGGATGGTGCGGAAACTGCTGATGAATTGACACTGGCTAGTATGGCAAAGGGAGCCAACGGGATCTTGATGGATCGATTCGTTCCGCCATCAGTTTCTACCTCTTTTGTGCCCGAATACTCTGGGTCCGACGACACTAGCGATAGCGATAGCTCGCTAAGTTCATCTGATGAGGCCGACACAAGTCTCCCGAAAAACGAAATAATCCAGAGCACATCGAAAGGCTATTGGCCTTCATTGCCGACAAGTTTCTTCGAGTCCGAATCGACGAGTTTCACATTGGTTGGAAGCATGCCAGACGCTAAATGGTTCCTACGCGAGAATTTGCCACAGGGCGCCGGGGACATCATCAAGTCTCTCGGAGGAAAATTCATGTTTGGTGGCTGGGTAGATCCTTTGTATGGGAAGTTCCTACGAGAAGTGAACATCATTGAGAAGTGGGAGCAATCGACCGAGGGATCTCAACTTCTCTTATATGGGACAATCGCGCCGGATTATATATTCATGTCTTTGTCCCCTGATGTCTCTCGAGCAAACATGAAACCTACCACCCTCGAATGGCCAGGCGAAACTCAGTACACTACGGCAAACATACCAGAAGAGATCAAGAATGCATCGCCTGACGATGAAAACGCCGGTCTACCAGAGGTATTCTTGCGCGGTAGGGGCAGACCCAAACACGAACTGAATGGTGCATCACGGTTCAAGCAGCAATCCGCGACGAAACCTCCAAAACCCCAACCAGCTGTGATAGCTCAGATGGAAATCAACTATAAGACGCGGCAACTTACAGCAATCACCGTTCAACATCGTGGCCGTATAAACAAGCCGCGGCTTGACGAAGACAATACTGGCCTTGCTGGTGAAACGGAGCTCATAGCGGCATTCGTGGTTATCAAGACTCTCTTGGGAGGTGTGGATAGGAAAACAGACCTCGGACTGATCCTGAAGACCTTCCCTGGCTTCTCTCATTCGGCCCTGAAAAGATTCTGGCCTAGGGTCAGTAAGGAACGGAAGACATATATCGAAGCTCTGACGGCCAAATTTCAGTCGTCATTCTTAGAGGCATATGAGGCAGGCGACGTCGCACCCATCAATTACGATGATCTCGAGTCGTATGATTGGAAATCTCTAATCACTTGGGCAACGAAACTGGAGACCCACGAGAACGTGAACCTCCCAGAATCACGTCAAGCTATAGAAAAGACCTATTCGCTCGAGAAAGTAGCCAACGAGGCCACAAATTGGAGGGAGACGTGGTTCCATAGCTTAGCCTCCATGTATTCTCGAGTCGAAGCAACGTCTGCCGAGCCGATTTCTATCCCACTAAACTATAGTGACAAAGCCGACGAGGGGATTACGAAACGGGCAAGGTCTTGGGTCCGTTCGTTATGTGTGACCCCTATTAAGGGTGCTCGCATGCCGGAGGAGATACGAGCGAAGCTCCTGAGGCTGAGTGGCGGCAACGAGGCCGAAGCGAACAAACTGCTTAAGAAAGTAGTTGATCGACTTACGTCGGAGAGAGTTGCGGCAAGAAGCAAAGGAAAGATCCTTGGCCAGTCCTTGAGACTTCACGGAGTCTTTGCGAAGCAGCTCGAGAGAGCCCCCACGGTCGACAAGTTTAAACAGGCTGCCAAATTCAAAGCAAAGCTGGATGAGACTTTCCGCAAGGGTGAGGATTTCTCTCTACCATACGCCGCTAACGACGGCTCGATTATGGCAGTCCTTAACCTCCAAGCCAACGCTCGCATCCACCTAGAACCAATCGGCATCCCCGAGATTCCTTTTGGTTTTGAGCCTGGAAACTACGACGGTAGAACTTATCCGAAGAGCTACTATCACTTCCAGGTGAGGCTAACGCCTACGGAGAGCTACGTGTTTGACAGAGATCTGCCCGTTCTTCAGCAAGCCGTGCGGATGGAGGCGCCGCAGCGCGGGCCTCAGGACATGATACCGATCTGGGTTGACTTCTTCGGGAACCTAAACAAGGATCGCTGGATTACGTATCTCAGCATGATGGTTATGGCTCTCGCGACTAAGGGTCCCTTGACCCCGGAGACGGCAAGCGTGCTTATGAAGCCGTTTGTCGAGCCGTTTGAGGCCAAGCTGATCATGGACTGGGTCGATAGCCTCGGCATCGTGCAGCGCTTCGAGTCCGGGCAGAGCGCGACGGTTGGCGAATGGTGGTGGCTGGTGACCGGGAAGCTAGTGTTGGATGTAAAGGGGGACGGCCTTCCTCAGAGTCAGAAGTGATGATAGAGCTGTAATGATTTGTATTTCTAAGGCATCGGTTGCATTAACGGCACGGGAAAAGCGGGAAAAGCAGGAAGAATTACAGGGCATGGCAAAGGCGTTTGAGAGAAAAGGATACATCATGCTGCGAAGCATTACGAAGCTCTTTTTTTTTTTGGGAGATTTCTGCAACATCACACCAGATAAGTGAGATATACCTACCAAGGTTACTCATTACTCGTTGCTTTCACCCCTGCGATGTGTTTTTAGATTAGTCTTAATAGGCATACGGTTGATACCCCCAAGCTAGGCCTTGACTGTTACATGTGCTTTAGTGGTCACGAGGTTAAAGAGCCTTCCTACAATGGCGTCGTTAATTTCACTTTGGGCAATTTGCCTTCGGAGTGATTCTTTCGTGAATTCGAGTTTCCCAACGCCTTGTTACTATGTATGTACTTTCAGTTTCCTCTAACCGGTAGGTAGGTAGAGACCAAACACAGTGTCGGCTGGCAGAGAGATACCTTGGGATATAGGTCCCAACAGGTAGAATTTTATTACGAAGATGTCGCCGTGGCAAATGCCGAGAAAGGGTGTGATCGTCTAGTGGTAGGACTACACGTCGTCGTTTACGAGCTGCTGGCTTTGAAACGACATCCGTGTAAACGACGGTTCGATTCCGTCTGGCGCCGATTCTATTCTTTTTTTTACGACAACCCCCCTCTCTCTCTTTTTTTTTTTTTTTTTTGAGATATAGTACTCCCGACAGCTCTAGCTGTTTTGAGCTCATATGCGGACTCAGCTACATATTCAAAGATGTCTAAAAATAACACTGTACATAAGAGACCCTTGAGGTAGTCAGCCCCCTAAATTGATAGACCAGAAGCCAAGATCAAGGGTGATTCCAGTGTTTTTATATTTTTATAAAACAGTATCTAACAACACGCCTCAGTATCAACACTCGTTGGGGATATTTCTATCTACCGGATACGCCCCGTTGTCCCTTAACGCCGATCGCCAAATGCCCGCCGCCCTGAAATATTTCATTCAACGCCCAACAAGAATCTTCATGAGCATGGCGATCAATACGACCACCAGGGACACGATGGCGTAGTCGACCCATGCCGGTACGCCCGCGTTCGGGTCTATCGGTCTTCGGCTTCGTGTCTGCGTTGTCGTTGTTGGTGTTGGTGTTGGTGTTGGTGTTGGTGTTGGTGTTGGTGTCGCCTGCCCCACCGGATCCGGCAACGGTATCCGCCCCGTGGGCGTTGGGACGCCCTGCGCCGGCCTAGCAGGCGGCGGCGCAGCCGCAGCATCCACCGTCGGTGGCGGCAGGACCTCCCTCTCAGGCGCGGTCTGCACGAAGCCCTCCGCCAACTCAGCGCTCTCCGCGTCCTCCTTAGCGGCCTCGCTCCCGCCCGCCTGCTGCGCCTTGGCCTTGTCCATCTCGTCGCGAAACCCGAGCTTCAGTTCGGCGGGGACCTCGACCTCCCGCCTCTCGCCGGTCTCGGCGCCGCCGCTGCTGCTGCTGGTCTCGAGCTCGCGGCAGCGCTCCTCGGTCTCGGCGATGATCTCGGCGTTGGACCGGGCGCAGGTGGCGCAGCGCCAGGCCCTGCTCGAGGCGGCGAGGCGGCGGCGCACGTCGTCGGCGGTGTCGAGGCCGCCGAGCTGGCCGCGGGCGTCCGTCTCCATGAAGCTGCGCAGGGCGACCAGGGCGGTGCGCACGCCCCACGCCGGCTGCCACGTCTCCTCGTGGTGGCCCGAGATGCTCAGGCAGATCTCGCGGTTCGCCTCGAAGCGGCCGCTCGGCGTCGCGAAGCGGAAGGACGGCGGCCGCAGCGGGTACGTCGGCGGCAGCACGATCCGCCCGTGGTACAGGCCCTCCGCGAAGCACGAGTGCGGCGGCCCGCGCAGCGTGAAGTGCCACTCGAACAGGTCTGTCTCGAGCGGCGACGCGGCATAGTCGGGGGACGGCGAGTTGGCGAGCTCGGCTGCTTCTTTTACTGTTTGTAGTTAGGTAGTTGGTCAGTTACGAGCTAGTAGTTGCAAGGGATTGGAGGGTGTGTTGGGAAGAAGGGGGCCGTACATATGCGCCGGATGGTGGGCGACTTGGAATTGAACTTTGGGGTGGCCATGGCGGCTACGACGGTGTTTCACGATATGTCTCTCTTTCGGCCGTGTGTGGCTAGAGAAGACCGCAGGGCATTGCGGGAGGAAGGAAATGCCAATGAGAGGATGTAATCACAGGCTTGTAATGTAGGAAATTCTAAAGGAGTTAAAGGTTAAGAATTAGCTTGAAGCTTGATTGGGCTATGGGGTTCTTGGAGAGTAGGAGGCGAGGCCAGATTGTCTTGATGCATTTCGGAATTCATGGGTTGGCGATATGATATAAAGCGTCATTACTGTACTACGTAAGCACGCAATGCCGATACCGATAAGCCAGACTTGAAACGTGTGGAACTGTGGCAATGTGGCTTGATGAGCCGGTTCCGGTCATGCGGGTAATACTGCATACCCCTATATATCCGTTATTTGAAAAGACCCGTTTGCTAGATAAGTCCTCATCGCCCGGCTGTATGCTCACCTCTAACGACCCCTTTATTTCCCAAGATTAGCAAGTATCATATCCCAGTAAAAATGGTAGAATGTGTTATCTTACCTAATACCTAGGTAGACAAGTGTCACCATAGAGGTGGTATGTATTATAAATAGATATATTCGCGGCTGATCGAGTGGAAGGTCGACATATGGTGTGGCAGCAGATACACCATACATTTGTGCCCATAACATACCCAACAAATAAAATAAAATATATTTTTTTTCAATATCTTGGACATAGCATTACATCCATGTATCCAGATAGATATCTACAAGTGTGAGTTTTGATAGTCTCCGCGAACACGATGTGGTATCGGTGTGCTTGATCGCAGCTGTTGAATCAAGTAACTGCAGATGTGATTCTTACGATACCCTCTTTGTGATTTGGATGCATCACGTTACTTCCAGGATGCCCCCTTGGAGCTCTTCTATCAAGCACTTTAAGTTTGAAGCCCATGAGGTACTGACAGGAAGGAACGGTTTCTCGTAGGTTCACCCTTGTCGAGCAGCAATCACAGAGCAACTGCTAAGCTACATTATTGGCGTTTGCACTGATATGATAACCGAGTGGACGACGCGCCTTCCGTCTTAAATATTGGGTTAGTCATTGTCGGCTTCCGTAGCTGCGTCGTCTAGTTTTTATCTCGAGTCTTGGGCAACCAAACCCAAACCTCTCGCCTCTTTATTTTGTCCTACCCTCTCGCCACAAATATCAATTCCCTTTCTCTTGTTTCTTCCCAGGAACATACTCAAGTCTCCTCTCCCGTATTGTTATTTCCATATTCGTACCAATTTTACTCCCGTATCATCACGTCACCCAGTTTTACTCCCAGTTTTCCTCCCAGTTCTTCTGACTCAGGTACTACTCGGCAGCAGAAACTGTAGCCATGGCGTCCGAAACGAAGCCTACTGCCACCCTCGCTCTGTTGGGATGCCAAAAGTGCACCAAGACTTTCGCCAACCAGCACGCATTGGCCGTCCACCAGCTCAAGGCAGGACACTTGCTTTGTGACCTTTGCGGCGACTCGTTTCACAACATCCAAAGCGTGTCGGCTCATCGCACCCAGGTAGGTCTATTTTCTAACCATAACACTTGCTCTATAGAACAATGGCTTACCGTGAATGTATAGGTTCACCATACTCCTGACAAAGTCATGTGCCCCGGATGTCCCAAGGCATTCCCCACCGCCGGAGGATGGATGCAGCATGTCGAAAAGGGCGAGTGTCCTTCTCTCTTCCCCTCGGACGTATCTGGACACGCTGCTAGGGTCATGGGTCAACTCAACAAGGAATGGCAGGCCAAGGCCATGGTGGAATACGAGCCTTTCTCTGGAGAATCCCACATTAAAGATACTTGGGCTGATTGGAAAGATGAGACCGACACTGCACGATTCGACGCGCAGAAACAACCCAACGACTTCCCGAGTCTCGCAAGCCAGGGCTCCCACAATGGCAATCCGACTAAAGATGGTGCCGACCATCCTGCAGAGCGCCCCGTGAATGCTTGGAATGCTTGGAGTCAGAAGAAGGACCTGTTCCCCGAGAAGCGAGGACAAAAGGCTGCCCCCCCTCCGTCCTCACTGGTGGAGAACATGGCTAAACCTACGCCCTCGAGTCGACCTTCGGGCGAACGAGCCTTTGATCCCGAATCCCCAGGATTCAATGCGGGAGCCTTCTTTAACCCGATCTTGGAGGTTTTCACATGTCCCCACACGATGTGCAAGTGAGTACCCAGCTGACCTAGCTGCTTGAATCCTTTCGTCAAAGTCTTACGTCTTACACTCTTATAGTACGAAGTGCAAGACTTCTTCAGCGCTGATCAGCCACCTCAAGTCCCCGAAGCATACCGCCGTTGAGTTCAGATGCCCGTCGTGCAGCGCCAAGTTCACGACCACCAGTTCGTGGGTCCAGCACGCAGAGACCGTCGCCGTGAGCAAATGCAGGGTTCGCAACACCAACCAATTCGCGCGTATCATGCGCGACGTAAGCAACGGTGCCTTGGATGTTAAATCTATCAACAAAGTCTTCGAGGAAAAGGTGAAGGTGAAGCTGAGCGATGACTGGGTTGCGTCCAAACAAGCTTCCACGGATGAATTCGTACCGGGCTCGGACCAGTGGGTTCAATCCAAGCAAGCCGAGACACCTAAGCCGAAGTCGAAGCCGGGTACCATAAGGGATTGGTCTTAGGTTAATAGCTTTAAGAGCTACCTTTGCAGAAGTTGATGCTCCTCGTCGAGGATTTAACGCCTAGTTTAGCAGTGGTGGACGATCTGGGCTAGGGCTTTCCTAAAGAGTTTGCGTCGGATTTGCGTTGATCTTTGTGGTTGGCAATCACAGAATGAGCTACTTTTCCCTCTTACCATGATATCGGGACAAGAACAGTTTCTTTGCGGTTCTTGTCCTGGACGTTTATGGTAATAGCTTTGCGATGATTTAGCAATAAATTTGGCACGTTGCCCCAATCCCGGGAATTCGTACTATGATGGTGCAATGTGATGTCAACTTCAGTATCCAGTCTTTCTCATCGAATACCACGACAAACATCCAGATACTCGAAAAGGGGTAACTTGCCAAGAATATCAATACGACAGTTCCACCTCCGACATAGGTTCTTTAACCAATGAAGTCGTAGATGACATACCCCATACTTTGTCGCGGATATTTTACCCATGCATGGATTGTAATTGAATCGCCCGCAGATCACTCTAACATGGTATTCAGCCGCCCCGGATCCAGACGGCCGCAGCATTGCATGATGCTACACGGTCTCCTGTACGCTTTTTGGTCTTGCCCTCAAAGACAAGACGCGATGACTAGGTTCTCCGCGTTCCCCAGACCTTTACCGCGTAATGGTGTAGTGTCGAACCCTGCATATTTTTATATTGCCCTCTAGCTCTCGGCCGGGCAATGGCTCCTCTACAACGAGGGGAGGGCCGGCAGATGTGCGGCGATCAACAGGCCGCAGCCCTATAGCCAGATCGGCACTGCGGCGATAGGAGGGGTACGTATGGCGTAGAGTAGGATCCCTTAAATGGCGTGCGTCTTTTACGAAGCTCTGTCTCGTCCTCGGCCTCATCTTAGCTAATTCTCCTCT